AAATTTTCTATCGAAACTTTTGACGAAATTTAGTTTTCATCAAAAGTTTTGATGAAAATGATTTCCTCCATCAAATATTTTAAACGAAAAGAGTTCTGTCAAAAATTTTGATTGAACGTTTTCCGTTCAAAATTTCGATGAAAATTTATTCTGATGAAAATTTCGACATAAATTGTTGTTAGAAATTTTGAGGAAAATGCTTCATTCGAAACTTTCGACGAAATTTAGTTTCTGTAAAGAATTTTGACAGAATATTTTTTCCGTCAAAAATTTTTGTCGAAATATTTATCGTCAAAAAATTTTACGAAAATATTTTCTGTCAAATTTTTTTGAGAAAAATGCGTTATGTTGAAAATTTTGATGAAAATGTTTTTTTATCAAAAAACTTGACAGAAATATTTTTCGTTTGAATTTTTTGATGAAAATGTGTTTCGTTAAACATTTTGACATAATTTTTTTTTGCCAAAACGTTTAAAAAAATGTTTCTGTCAAAAAAATTCAGCAGAATTTAAATTCTATTAAGAAATTTGATGAAATTTTTTTCGTCAACAATTTTTGATAGAAATGTGTTTTGTTAAAATTTTTAATGGAAATATTTTTCGTCAAAAATTTCGATGAATATGTTTTTTTGTGAAATATTTTGGCAAAATTTAGATTTCGTAAAGAATTTTGACAAAAAAAAAAATTTCGTCAAAATTTTTTACTGAAATATTTTTTGTCACAAATTTTGATGGAAATATTTTTCATCAAAATTTTGATGGAAATGTTTTCCGTAAAAAAATTTGACGTAATTGTTTTACGTCGAAACTTTTCGATGGAAATGTGTTTCATCAAAATTTTGGACAGAAATATTTTCGTTAAAGTTTCGACGAAATTTAGATTCTATCAATAATTTTAACTGAATTTTTTTTTTCGTACAAAATTTATGTTTGTGATTATGGCAAAATCTGGTTCCGTCTCTAATTTTATCTTTAGTTTTGACGAAAATTTTTTGACGTATATGATTTTCATCAAAAATTTCATCACTATTTTTGATGAAATATTTTTCGTCAATAAATTCTGTCAGTATTTGAGACTTTTCTAATAATATCGCATTTAAAAATGATTCACAATTATGTAGTTTTAACATTTTAATACTAAGGGTAGATTAGTAATTTTTAATATTTTTTTTCTTCAAATCCTCCAAATTGAAGTAACTTTAATTTTAAGAAGAATGAGAGTTTTTGAGGGTTTTGTAAAAATTCACAAACTCTTCCCCTCCCTTTTTTAAACTCACAAACAAGAGAATGACTTACTAAAACTTTATTTCCTTTCCTTCCCCTCCTAAAACCAACTCCCAAACAAAGCCGAAAGGATACAAACGTGGGCTTAATGCCCTTTTGTTTACCAAAAAAGGATACAAATGCGGATTTTATTGCTTGTTATCCATTTTTTGTTGTTGTAAATATCCATTTTTTTTTTACTAAATTGGCAATATAGACTTAATAAAAGATCAACGCAAGCAAAAACTTTACGTTGAAGAGAAATGTTATCAGATGTGTTTCACTTCGACCATGGCATCAAAGTTACAGTTACTGTAAAAAATATGAGCTATTCATATAACAGTGAAATACATTCAATAATATCTAATAAAAAAGTTTATCTTACTGCAGAAGACTTAGGTTAGGGTGTTCATGATCAGACCCGGGCTAGGAACCTGATATGGGTGAGATTCGGGTCATACAAACCGAAATCAGTAAATTTTGAGACAAGGTTGAATAATGTTTTGAAACTTGTAATTCTTTTTTAAAAATAATGATAAATTAAAAGACATGTGAACTTAAATTGATATATTTTGCATGATATGATATTATTTTGTATTGATATAATTTGATTAATATTATAAAGTTATGTAACAGAGTCTTGTACAATTTGATTAATATTATTTTGTATTGATATAATTTGACAAAAACAAGAACTTCAAGACACTATTAATTACAACAATTGGTCATGTAAGTGTAAATCCGATAAAATTCTCTTCATGCTATGCAACATCAACTAATTAAATAACTATTGAATTTAAGGTTGTGTTTTTTAACAATTTTTCTAGACACCCATCCACTTTATCTTGGTTCCATTGGCCAAAAGATAAATAAATATATCAATTGAAGTGACACATAAAATTTAGGTGAAAAATCAAATTGGAAAAAATCATACGTAAATAGAAACTCTTATAAATCTCTTATCTTTTATTTCTTACGTTATATTTTTTAAGAAAAACATGAAACACGATTTTAATAGAATGATAAAAGAGTAAGAATGGCGCTTTCCTCCCTGTGTAATCCATATAAACAAAGGCTAAAATTTTCATATATAGTCGTAATATTAACCATATTAATTGTTAATACTCATATTTGTTAGAATTCTTATAAAATTTAAATGTTACGAATAAGAAATTAAGTATGAAGAAATATCTCTTTTCATTATTGAACAGATATAACTATTCACTGATGAACGAGCATGACTCTTTATTGCCCAATAGACATCATTCATTATGGCTAGCCATAATTTATAAATATGGAAGGAAATTAAAATAAACTGGTTACTTTTTTGATTTATCTCCTTTACTAAAATTCAACCAAAACATTTTGTTTGGAATCTTTGCATTCATTCTACGTGGTAGTTCAAACGAAAGTTGTGTCTACCAGTGCTGTTTGTTCAAGAGCCGTTAACAAACAAAGGTAATATGTTTTATTCCTAGAGATAATTGTCATTCACTGTTAGACACCATAAATAGGATAAATTGTCTTAAGAACACAGTATTTAACTATGAGCTCGAATTTTATTCTTTCATTTTACTAAATTTGCATAGTTTATCTATTTATCAATTTCATTATTGGTTGTTTGGTTGCGTCCACTCTTGAAACACAGATTTCCCTTAATTTTCCATTTGTGTGCATTCTGCGCTAACAATATTTAACATCATATTAATTGATAATAGTAATTGTGTCATATTTAACAATATTACAATGTGAAAAATTTGTACCTGCTGTAGAGCAAACAAAACTACCCAGAAAAAATCACCCAAGAGAATTCTGCCTATAGGGAGTTTAGCCAGTTCCCGCCTGGGCTTAGTAGCTTATTTTTTTGCTGATATCTGTGCTGTTGGTAGGATTAGAAACATTTGTATTGTCTAGCTGTGGTTTGGGCTGTTAAGCCCTTCCTATCACAAAAAAAAAAAAAAAAAAAAACTACCCAGAATAGAGATCACCAAAGGCTCCCCTAGCATTCTTAGCGAGCAAATACAATAAATCTGAAGGTGGATCTTCCTCTCACACTTCATAGTATATTTTTAAGTAAAAAATTGGACATGAAATATTTCAAACTATCATTTTATTATTTTATTTTAGTTATTGCAGTTTGAGTGGACTACTTCATAGGCTCATCAACTCATATTTTTTTAAAGGAAAATTATACTTTTTTCTCCCAATATAAATTATAATTATATTGTCATAAAAAATGCATTTTAGTCTATTTTAATATAAATTATTATGGCTTGTATAATAGATTCATAATCAATAAACTATTTATTGATTTAAGTATTGATTCTTAACCACATCATGCTCCATCTCAATAATCTATAACTATACACAGATAAACAAATAAATTTATTTATTTATTTTTTATTTTTTTTTGAACAAATCGATTTCAATCGACTGATAAATAAATTAAAAAATGAATGCAATCATTAACTAAGCTTTAATTATTAAAGTCAAAAATATATTATATTCTTGAATGATAGCGTACAGGATAAAAATTGAATTAGATATTGAAGTGTCCACCAAAAAAAAAAGAATTAGATATTGAAGTAACTAGCTGGCCAGGTGGGTTACCGACCAAGTCGTGTGAAAGAAAATTATTAGTGTTCAACCAATTTACTCGATCAGTACATGAAGCTTAGCATAGTTTGATCGCTCTGGTGTACATAACACTTGTTGACCCAAAAAATAAAATAAGAAGGGTTTAATGTATATTTCGATGGAGATAAATTTATTTTTTATATGAATGAGATTCATATTTTTTTTTCCATTTCTCCCTTATATGAGTCTCATATATATATATATATATATATATATATATATATATATATATATATATATATATATATATATATTTATTTATTTCTGTAGTTAAGGCAGATAAATTATCTGTATTTACTTTCAAAACGACGTCGTTTTAGGATTGAAAATTAAAAAATTATAATTATTAAGACTATAATATCCCTGAAATAAATTAAATTACAAAAATATTATTATTTTTGTCCCAAAACGATGTCGTATTGGGCTTACTGTAGATAATTTGCAGAAAAAGTGAACCCATATATATATGGTCATATTTTTTTTTTTTTAGGTAGGATCATTTGATACCAGTGTCAATTTGAAATTTGACACCTCATCTGATCTTTTTTGATCTAACGACTCTTAGATGAGGTGTCAAATTTCAAATTTGACACTGGTGGATTCCTATAACTATTTTTTTAACTATGTACTCTAGAAAGTATATAATTGTAATATTAACAAATTATTTCTTTTAACTATGTACTCCGAGAGCACATGATTAAAAAATTGTTGCTGATTTTCTTTTAACTATATACTTCTTATGGAAGTTCATAATTAAAAAATGGAAAAAATATTTCTGCAGCTAATGCAGATAAATTATCTGCATTTATTCCAAAAACGATGTCATTTTGGTATTGAAATATTAAAAAATTATAAATATAAAGACTATTATAACTCTGAAATAAATTAAAATTACAAAAATACCATGATTTTTGCCCCAAAACGACATCGTATTGAACTTACTGCAAATAACTTATCTGACCTATATATATATATATATATATATAAAAGAGGGATAAATAACCTACGACATAGTAACCATTAAACCCAAATAAAAAAGTCTGCAGTTGAAACCAGTATTGGGAATTGGAAAACGAAAATGAAAAAAAAGACAAGACAACCAAACTGAATCGTTTTGGGTGGTCCTGGTTCTGTGCTGTTTTGTCTGCATTTGGTTGAGTCGTTGGACACACAAACACACAGAGAGAAACAGAGAAAGAGACATAGTCAGAGAAAGCATTGGGATATGTTTATGGGACAAAATCCTCAACTCATTTTATGAGCCTCTGATTTGCCTGAAATATATCATCCAATCCCTTCTTCTTCTTCTTTCCATAAAACATGCACAGCAACATCATAGATTTTGAAAGAATTAACTCATATTAATACTATCATTCAAACTTAATTGCCTTTCTCTAAGGGTAGGAAATTTTCCTGGAAAATCTCCTGGAATTCCGGGAAATTATTATCTGAGCACGTTCTGCTCTGTATCGGGTTGGTCCACTTGCTTGGTTATTCTGTGCTTTTTTTGCGTCTTTGGTGATAAAAAAGCGTTTTGCCTTTTGTCCTTTTGGATTATGTTACAGTTCCGTGATATAATGGGGCTTTGGTGAAGCGTGGCGTTTCAAAGTTAATTTCTTTTTGATTGGTAGGTCCCCAGGTTGACGTTTTTATACTTGTATAACACTAGAGAGTTTATTCGGTGTTCACTACTGTTCACTGCAAATCCAAATTGGTGCTTCCTTTGCTTTCGTGTGTGTGAGAGAGAGATGGGTTCCTACGGAAATCTTTCAAGGAGGGCTGTGGAAACCAATATGCCGATAATGGTTCAGGTTCTCACGGAAGCCTCTATTTGACATGTTCATGCATTCCTTCCAATGAGTTTTTGGATTGATATTCAATAATTCAAGGTGTGTTTGTGTTTTGTGTGTGTGTGTGTGTGTGTTTGCAGATGCAGGAATTGCTCCAAGGTGCTAAGAATGCTGTATCTTTGGCCCAGGTTTGTTTTTATGTTTTCTTTTCTCTCTTTTTCCAATGTTTGTTTGTTGATCTAATCTAACCTACAGGTGATGGTTTGGTTTGAGGGGGGCAGATTGTGTCTTTTCTGGTTTCCACTTTCCAATGTTTGAATTATAAATTAATCTTGCTTGGTCAGTGTGTGTTAAGAGTCTTATAAAGAGAAATTCTTGTGTAGGTGTTCAGATTCTAGCAGTACGTGGGACCCATATGGATCCCACTATATGGCTGCAATCTATGTGCAAGTGTGTGTTATAGACTTGAATTAAGGCATGTTGTTTGGTGCGGGTTTTTGAAGCTATACTATAGCTTGGGTCGACTACATTAAAAATGTGTTGAAAAAAGCTGAAACTTTGAGAAACTTCAAAAGTTTTTTTTTTTTTTTTTTTCTGCACTTGACTTTCCTACTAAATTTCTCACGACAAATATGAAATATTTGCTTTCAAATATCCTAAAAATTAAAAGATGCATATCTAAAAGTAGAAACGGATTTAGAAAATCAGGCAAGGAGGTATAGTATAGCTATGTACTGTCGAACATGGCTATCATTTTTGGTTACTTTATTTGAACTGTCAATATCAACAATCAAGGCTCCAATTTCCAGGTTGCCAAAGCTTTTTTCTTTTATAATTTAAGTTTAACTTTGGGCCTGGATTGTGACCTAAACGTGAAAGCTATATATTTTGATTCTGCACCTGTTGTTACTAAATTTTGGTTCATGGTTCTGCATGCTTTTAGTCATCATTTGAAATTTACTAATGATTAGTTAACTAACTTTCTATATATTATTTGCTCCTTAGTACTGTCTAAAATGCAAATGGTGATGATTTTGTTGAAAATTTGTCTGCTGCTGTAGGGGGTGGTTTATTGGCAACCTCCAAAGCAAGCATTGGATAAGGTGAAAGAACTTGTGTGGGAGCCTTCTATTAGTCGTTATGGTGCTGATGAAGGTCTTCCTGAACTTCGAGCGGCTCTACTGAACAAGGTAAATTATCTAGTTTCTTCTTACAACTTGTAATAGTGGGGAACTGTGGCTAGCTCTTTTGGGGGCTCTTAATTTGGGATGAAGCTTGGACTTGCCTAAGGGTCAAAATCAAAAGCCTATTAACGGCCATTTTTAGTACCTGAATTAGTCCTTGACATTTGTCATCTTTTAATTAACTCCTTTGCGCTTGTCATGCAGTTGCGTAGGGAAAATAATTTGCACAGATCCTCAGTAATGGTTACAGCAGGTGCCAATCAGGTGATCAATCCCCTGATATATAATGTGTTTTATGTTCATTTTTTTGTTATAACATAGACAAGAGAAAACATGGTTTCTAAAAAAGTGAATTGTATAAGCATTTCAACTTTCATTTACTTTCTTGAGTTTACCCATTTAAATTATGTAAGTGTTTTTATTGCTTGCTTATCTTAAATTCTATCTACAACTTTTATAGTGTAGTTGCTTCTCTTCCCTTTAACTCTGTTAGAGTCTCTTTGTTTTTTGTCCGTTAGAAAATTCAATGGTTTTTTAAGTTTGATGTAACGGCCATGTGCTGCACTAAAGTTGTTTGATGAGTCTTAACGGTATCATAATGGGTAGTATAATGAGTCATTAAGTTAGAGTTTATTTGGGTGTAATGTGTCTCTTAATGTTATGTTTTTCAGTTTTAGTTTCTGGTTTATATTAAGTTTGAGTCAGTTTATGAAATTTGTATTCCCTCTTCAAACATTGTGAGTTATATTTCTGCATCTTAATTTTTCTTTAACAGTGGTATCAGAGCCGGATTGGGCTCGAGCTAGCCTAGTGATTGGCTAGGAGGCGGGTCGAGTACTTTGCGCTTCGGGTACTCGGTTGAGGGGGAGCATACCAATGGTGGGTGAAAGGACCCATGAACCCAAAGCCTTAAGGTTTTGGGTTGAGACATGGTGTCGGATCCACTTGCTACGGTTGGTGTAGTCTTAGCTCATTGGTGGTGGTTCCCCGCCACGGGCTTCCCCTGGACCCGCTTGACATTGGAGTTTGAGGGAACGAATTTCCCAACAGTGGTATCAGAGCCAACGATCTGGGCCAAGTGTTTGGAAGGCCTCTGCAGAAGGCTAGTGTGACCCTAATATTTGAAAGAGAAAAAAAAAAAGACTTCCGCAGAAGTTGCCCTTAGGGTAAGAATGATATTGGGCCTCACACTTGAGGGAGGATGTTGGAAATAATCAAGTATGAGTTGTAAAGAAGTACCACATAGACTAGACATAGACCAAGTGATGACCATATAAGTGTGAAAAGACCCATAAACCTACAGCCTTAAGGTTTTGGGTTAAAATGTGGTGTCAGATCACTTATTGTGGTTTATCGCTTGGTCCATAGATATATCCCTTGCAATGGGTTTTGGGCTCCCCCATACCATTCTTAACAAACTCAAAGCATAATGAATAGGCAAGTCTTTGATAGGAATAGCATATTGCATTAGATCTATCCATTCTTTCGTAGTACAACTCCTTTATTTGTTAGAAACTGAAAGATAGGATGATTTAAAATGAATTTTCTGGATTATTATGTTCATCTTTTTTTCCCTGTACCTGTATAATCTTTTTTACTCCTCTTTCCCTTCTCTCAGCAACTTTCTTGTCGTAGGCTAACACTGAATAAGTCAGCGTTAACAGTTTAGGTCTCTTTGTTTAACTGGTGATTGAAACTAATGACTGTTACAGCACTCGTTTTGTTTTCTTGATCAGTATATAATTTGATGTTTCAGCAGAAATGTGGTACTCATTTCTAATAATCTGCAGTGCAGGCATTTGTGAATCTAGTTCTTACTCTGTGTGATCCGGGGGATTCTGTGGTTATGTTTGCTCCTTACTACTTCAATGCATACATGTCCTTCCAGATGACTGGCGTTACCAATATACTATTGGGTCCTGGTAACCCAGAAACACTTCATCCAGATGCAGGTATGGTTATCGGCATTGGACTACGAAAACAAAGCAAATCTTTGGTTGCTAAGAACATTTTTTCCTCCTTTCAGGGGTTTTTTATTGATAACTGATTGGGTGGATTAGGTCTTGACTTCTTGAAATTTCTCAAAAACACCGATAAAACAAAGCACTACTTTGCTTTAATAAGCATGTTGTCAGATACATTTAAACCTTTGTTTTGTGATAGGGATCTGTTTTACTTGTAATAAAAGTGGAGACTAGCTCCTTGCCAGAAGAGAATTCTGTACACTTGAAAAAGGGTTATGAAATATTATTGATTTGTATTTGAATCTGTACACAGGGGTCTCTTTTTATAGAGACTTCTTGACCTAATTTTGACCTAATGAGCTTGACCCAATATACAAGTAACGGACTAAATAAATACAAATAAATGACTACATAATTACTAATAAATGACTACATAATTACTATTTACAACACTCTCCCTTGAGCTGAGGAATAGATATTTATCATTCCCAGCTTGCTAGCAAGTTCGTGAAATCTATCTGAAGGAAGCCCCTTTGTCAATAGATCAGCTAATTGACGCCCAGTGGGAATGTATGGAGTGGTAATCAACCCGCTATCAAGTTTCTCTTTGATGAAATGGCGGTCGACCTCAATATGTTTAGTCCGATCATGTTGAACTGGATTATGAGCTATACAAATAGCGGACTTATTATCACATAGCAGCTTCATAGGTCCCTTACATTTTATTTTTAGATCATCAAGTACAATTTTTAGCCACAGTAACTCACAAATGCCTTGAGCCATAGCTCGAAATTCAGCTTCTGCACTTGATCTGGCGACCACATCTTGTTTCTTACTTCTCCATGTCACCAAGTTACCACAAAGAAACATGCAATAACCAGTGGTAGAACGACGGTCAGTCACGGATCCAGCATAATCAATATCTGTGTAGACTTCTAAAGATAGATTGCCATCACGTCGGAATAACAACCCTTTACCAGGAGTACCTTTCAGATACTGAAGAATTCTCTCTACTGCCTGCATATGTTTCTCCTTTGGATCGTGCATAAACTGACTGACAACACTAACAGCATAAGCTAAGTCTGGTCTAGTATGGGCCAAATATATCAATTTCCCAACTAGCCGTTGATATTGTCCTTTATCAACTGGAGGACTCTCCTCTTCATAACACATCTTGTGATTCTGCTCAATAGGAGTATTAGAGGGTTTACACCCGAGCTTTCCTGCTTCTTTGAGAAGATCAAGAACATATTTCCTCTGGCTGATAAAGATTCCTTTGCTCGAATGAGCTACTTCTATCCCTAGGAAATATCTCAGTTTCCCAAGGTCTTTGACTTCAAACTCAGAGGCAAGCCGTGTTTGCAGAATCTGTCTCTCCACAAAATCATCACCTGTGATAATAATATCATCAACATATACAAGGAGCACAGTAAGCTTCCCATTTTGGGAGTGCTTGAAAAAAAGAGTGTGATCTCCTTGACTTTGTTTATATCCTAAGGTCATCATAACCTTAGTAAACTTTCCAAACCAGGCACGAGGTGACTGCTTCAATCCATACAAGGCCTTTTTTAATTTACAAACTTTATTTTCTCCCTTCACAGAATCAAAACCATACGGAATTTCCATGTAGACTTCTCTTCTAACTCACCATTGAGGAAAGCATTCTTCACATCAAATTGGTTTATATCCCAATTGTAATGGGCAGCAAGGGATAACAAAACTCTCACCGTATTCATCTTTGCAACTGGAGCAAATGTTTCTTCATAATCAATGCCATAGGTTTGAGAGTAACCTTTGGCAACTAATCGAGCTTTGTATCTCTCAAGAGTTCCATCAGAATTATATTTCAGGGCATAAACCCATCTGCACCCTACTGCTTTCTTTCCAGTAGGTCTATCAATAACCTCCCATGTTTTATTTTTCTCCAATGCATTCATCTCCTCTTGCATGGCTTGAGCCCAATTCCCATCTTTCAAGGCTTCATGTACTGATTTTGGGATTGCAATAGAGTCTAGTGCTGAAACAAAGCTTTTGTGCTGCACAGACAGATTAGCAGAGGAAACAAAATGGGAGATAGGGTATTGAGTACAAGAGGAACAAGATTTCTTAGGACATGATCTTTTTCCTTTTCTAAGAGCAATGGGTAAATCATCAGAATCAGTAGTAATGGGTAAGTCATCAGAAGTATCATGATCAGAAATATGAGATTCAGGACTTACCAGTGGTTCAGACGATTGAGGTTGCTGCTGAGGCAATGTGGGTTGTGTATCAGTCATAGGAGGATCAGTCACAGGAGGATCAGACATAGACACATTGGGAACAGGAATAAGAGGAAGAGACACTGACTCAGGTGAAGGAGTAGACACTGAAGATTCAAATTCAAAGAAGGAAGGTGATGAGTCTTCTAGTGAATTATTCTCCCCCTGAAGATGAGGACCTTGGAAAAAGGACTCAGATTCCTGAAATGTAACATCCATAGAAACAAAAAATTTCCGACTACCAGGGTGATAACACTTGTAGCCCTTCTTATCAGGAGCATATCCAAGGAAGACACATTTAAGAGCCCTAGGATCCAACTTACTGCGATGCTGTTTATGAATATGAACAAAGACAACACACCCAAACACTCGAGGAGGAAGACTTTGCAAAGTTGAAACAGAAGGAAAAAAAGAAGTCATGGAGTGAATAGGACTTACATGATCGAGAACCCGAGTGGGTAGACGGTTGATCAAGAACGCTGCAGTAAGAATGGCATCTCCCCAATAGCATTTGGGTACATGTGTTTGAAACAGTAAGGCACGAGCAACTTCAAGAAGGTGACGATTTTTTCTTTCAGCAACCCCATTTTGTTGAGGGGTGTCTACACAAGTAAGTTCATGAATCATACCTTGATTTCGTATAAATTGGAAAAAATTGTGATTAACATATTCAGTACCATTATCTGTTCTTAGTCTCTTGATTTTTCTACCAAATTGGGTCTCAACCATTTTATAAAATTGAAAGAACAGATGTGGTACCTCAGACTTTTCATGCATTAAGTAAACCCAAGTTACACGAGTGCAATCATCAATAAAAGAAACAAACCATCTATTTCCAGAAGCATGGGGGACTTTAGAAGGACCCCAAACATCAGAATGAATAAGATCAAAAGGTTCAACACTCTTAGTACTACTAGAAGGAAAAGACACATGATGATGCTTAGCAAACTCACAAACATCACAATGAAAAGACTCAACCGGCTTAGATAAAAACAATGACGGAAATCAAGACTTGAGTAAACCAAATGGAGGATGTCCCAAGCGCTTATGATGAAGCCAAATCAAAGAATCAGCAGTTGATTGACTATGAGACATCAAGATGTGATTTGTTACTTTATTTGCGGGAGATTGTGACACCAGATAGTACAACCCACCTTGCTCTTTAGCACTACCAATCGTCTTCCCCGTGGCGAGATCCTGAAAAACACAATGGGTAGAGAAGAAGGTTACAGTACAATTCAGATCTTTTGTAATTTTATGAATAGAAAGTAGATTCGTGGAGAGTTTAGGAACATGAAGAGCATCTTTAAGATGTAAGGACTGCTGTAAGATTATGTCACCAGAACCCGCAACTGATGTATGTGAGCCATCAGCTATGGCTATAGTATGAGTTCCAATGGTAGGATGATAAGAAGCAAATGAGTCAGCACAACAAGCCATATGATCAGTAGCACTAGAATCAACAACCCAGGAATGTTTAAAATCATTATATGAAGAAAAGAAAGAATGAGTTTTGGGGCTCATACCAGTCAAAGCCAAAGCACTAGTATCAGATGGCTTACTCAGATAATCAAGGATGGTTCGGAGCCGTTCTAACTCATCTAGACGAAATGCAGGTTGGGTCTCATTAGGTGCAGGAGTTATTCCAAAGGAAGTAAAATGCGCTTGACCACGCATCCTTGCCATCTTTTCTAAGACAGTTTGCTTTCCATGGAGGCGAAAGCATAAATCCTTGATATGACCTGTTCTTTTACAATAAGAACACCATCGATCATCTCTCTTAGGTTTAGAAGATGCACCATCATAAAACTTTGTAAAGGAACTCCTTTGAGAAGAGGCCATACTGCACAAAAAAAAATAACGAAAAAGGATCTAAAAAGCCAAAAAATTCGGAAAAAATACCAAACGATGTCGGATCTGAGAAAACAACACAGATCCAGAAAGAGAACAAGGAGACGAGAAGAATGGTGGTGGTCCGGTCCAGAAACACCGCCAGACGCGCCTCCACGCGCCGGAGAAAGCAGCTGCGTGTGGGCTTCACTCGCGGACAAAGAGGCGGCGCGTGAGAGCGCGTGGCAAGGCTTCTCCGGCTGAAATTTTTCCGTTGTGGTCGTCCGGTGAGCACGCACCTGTCTGTGGGTGGTTGCGGTTGAAAAGTCACCGGAAAAGGTTCTAAACGGTGAAGACAGAACTGATTGAAGGCGGTCGGAGGTGTTTGGGTCGTTTGTGGCGGAGGGACGTCGCGTAGAATGATAGAACGAAAAAAAGAAGGTCAACAGTGGTCCCCTTGGTCCAAAAGGTCCCCGGAAATTTTTTTTCGGTGGCGGCTGATGGCGGCAAGAGGCAAAGAAATTAGGGTTTTGTAAAAAAAAGACAATAGGCGCGGAAGCAGAGCCCTCAGGATCGAGAGCTCTGATACCAACTTGAAAAAGGGTTATGAAATATTATTGATTTGTATTTGAATCTGTACACAGGGGTCTCTTTTTATAGAGACTTCTTGACCTAATTTTGACCTAATGGGCTTGGCCCAATATACAAGTAACGGACTAAATAAATACAAATAAATGACTACATAATTACTAATAAATGACTACATAATTACTATTTACAACATGTACTTAGATTACAAAAAGACTAGAAAAGAAAGAAATAACAGAATATAGAGACTGTTAGAGTGGGAATTCCAGCTTTAGGAATGGCCAACCCCACCTAAAACCACTCTCTACACAATTTTTCCTGCTTTCTCACTCTTCCTCTGTTCACTATTCACTCCTCTCTACACATTTTCTCCAACACAATCAACACCTCACTATTCACTCCTCTTCTCCCCTGATCACCCTTGCATATTCCCTTCTACCTCCCCTCTCTTGTTCATGGTACCACTGCCTTTCCTTTTATTTATCCACCCATAGACTCTAGTAATAGGAGGGTATCTATCAGTTTGTCAAACCTCTTCAAGGAAGGTTTCTTGGGCCATTATAAACTCATACATGTCCAAACTCTTTGGTTTCAAGTTCCCATGAATTACCAAAACGGTGGATAAGTTTACTACATCTTGTGATTTGATATATTGGTAAATCCAACATCCAAGTAGCTCATGCTGATGAATAACCTTCTACACAACACAGTCCTTAATACATCGATCTTAAAAGAATATTTGATGTCTATGAAACATTAGTTATCTTTGTTTAGCTATTTATTTGAATTTTCGTGATTTTCAGATTGGTTGGAAAAAATACTATCGGAAAGTAAACCTGTCCCAAAGCTTGTTACTGTTGTAAATCCAGGCAACCCAACTGGAACCTACATTCCAGAGTCTCTTCTAAAGGTTTCTCTCTCTCTTTCTCTCATGGGGTGTATGTGTATGTGTATGTGCAGGTGTATGTGAATATGCCCACAGTTAGTATGATTTTAAAAAAGTATTGCTGAACTTTTAAGAATTTTCCATTCAAGTTTTCCTTCTTTGGTTTCTTTTGAATTATCTTATGCAGTCAAATATGCATGTATTTGACCTCCTTAAGGTTATATTCCCAATCAATATGTTGATTGATCTAAACAAATTTCTTTTTTTTTAAATTTCTAAGCAACTGCTTTTGCTTAATTGGCCAGAGGATTTCAGATCTCTGCAAGAATGCTGGCTCTTGGCTTGTTGTTGACAATACATATGAGTAAGTCTTCTTAAGTTACCATGCTAGTGGAAATTCTTTCATATTTATGAGTGAAAGCAAAAGCAAAAACAAAAAAGAAGAAGAAAATGTCCCGGAGATATGTTCATGTCCTTGTTATTCTACTTAGCACCATGACAAGACCATTTAATTAATGGCGAGAAACCACCACCAATGAGTTAAATTAGACCAACCATATCAAGTGGATTCAACATCATGTCTCAACCCAAAACCTTAAGATTTATAGTTTATGGGTCCTCCCAGTTATATGGACTTCACTTAGCTCATTACCCAACCAATGTGGGATTTCATCACACTTATACCCCGACAGTTTTGACAAGTTTTTCATTGTCGACTGCCTAACACAATCCTCCTCTTTAATCTGGGCTACGGGCTGGCTATGTTAAGATCGGCAACAAAGCACAGCATAGGCAGGGTTTATTCATGACAATTCCTATTTTTTTTATTGATAACTTTTTCAATTTATTGTCATTTCACATTTAATTTTTGAATCACTTTCACTTATAATACTGTGGTCAGCTCCTTATGTGGTCCCTAAATTATCCTTATGAGATCTTACACTATTCAGGAAACACCATATCAATGCTTCAGTCATCACAGGAGTCTCACTTATAATACCTATAAACATTCTCTTATAATTTGTCTGTGAATCTTTTCATTTGTATTGCAAATGTATATGTCAATAATTTCTTTTGACACTCTGACCCCATACTTGATTTGGAACCGTTACATTTTTGGCTTCTGTAGTTCTCTTTGTTGTTCTACTCATTGCTACTCCAGGGGAATAACTATTATTAGCTTGTTTTTAAGGCATTTCTTCATTTATATATCATCTTGTTTTATGGGGATATCTTGTCCTACTATATATGCATGCAGGTATTTTATGTACGATGGTCTGAAACACACTTGTCTGGAGGGAGATCACATCGTTAATGTTTTCTCTTTCTCGAAAGCATATGGAATGATGGGATGGCGGGTTGGATATGTAAGTAATACTTATGAAGTTATGATGTCCTTATTTTCACCAGCAGGAGAAGGAAGCATTAAACTTTTATGTCCAATTGATCATTTTTTGTGACATTGGATTTGTCAACCATGTTATACAACCTTTGGAACCTGTGCATAAGCAGTGATGTCGTGTTGGATTTATGGTGTTAATATTCTTTGAAGCCATTATGCATGTAAGTTTTCAAGTAATGCAACATAATGAGCAAGGAAGTTCACAATTAAAGTTATATTTTGGTTCATTTTTCATATTTAATATAACTTACCATAGTACTATTCTAGTTTGAAATAAAAAGAAGAAACATCCATTGATTTTATTCTGTAGCATATGGTAAGCAAGTATGGCAAGAACAGATATTATATGACAAGTTGAATTGTTCTGGAGTAGAGCTAGGTCTAGATCCCTCAAGGAGTGAAGTTTCTTACTGTATGGGTGCTCTAGAAAGTAGTGGTATGGATCAAAACTCTTGGGAGAGTCACCATAGGTGCTATCTAAGGTACGAGGGAATGTGTAAGAGCACAATGGCTCTAGATTTCAGCAGAGTAACAGCTTATGAAATGTATGAATGCAAGGTGTCTCTTCCATAGTTGAAGAAAGGTATATATATATAGGGTTCGCTTTTTCTGCGGTTAATGCAGATAAGTTATCTGCAGGAGGCTTAATACGACATCGTTTTGAGGCAGAAATCATGGTGTTTTTGTAATTTTAATTTATTTCAGGGTTGTTATAATATTTATAGTTATAATTATTTAATTTTTCAATCCCAAAACGACGTCGTTTTGGGAGTAAATGCAGATAACTTATCTGCAGTAACTGCAGAAATATTTTTCCCATATATATATATAGGTGGGAAATATTTCCTAATGATATGAGAGAGGATCCATAACTGTTTTGGCCATTACCTCATTGATGTGAATGAGGGAATTGCTCCACCAGCTGTACGATGGGTGAACTGTGCAAGGGAGTGAGAGATTCTTTGCATAGAGATATATGTATTCACTATGTGGAGGCAGGGGAATGATCCTTTAAGGGACTTTATAGGTTGGCTCATATGTATTGGACTGTGAACGCCGGTACAGAGCACAAGTGTTTCTTACCAAAAAAAAGAGAGGAGTATAAATGATCAAACACAAACCTATATTGCTTCCATTTTATATTCTGGATTATTTGTTTCTTCTCTGCAATATAGTAGTTACATTTTTCAGTTGCATTTAATATTAAAAATCAGCATTGCTATAGTCTGGACTATAATTGGATTATTGCAGATAGCATACCCATCTGAAGTAGAAGGACTTGGTCGTCAACTTCTCAAAGTTCAAGACAACATTCCCATCTGTGCTTCAATAATTTCACAATACCTTGCCCTCTACTCCTTAGAAATGGGACCTGAGTGGGTTACAGAACGAGTAAAAACTCTTGTCAAGAACAGAGAAATTGTTTTAGAAGCCCTTTCCCCTCTTGGAGAGGGTTCAGTGAAAGGAGGAGAAGGTGCTATATACCTATGGGCAAAGCTTCCAGAAGGACATGGTTATGATGATTTTCAAGTTGTTCACTGGCTAGCTAATAGGCATGGGGTTGCTGTAATACCAGGAAGTGCATGTGGTGGTTCTGGCAATCTTAGAATTTCATTTGGAGGTTTGACAGAGAATGATTGCAAAGCAGCAGCAGAAAAGCTCAAGAAAGGCTTGGAAGAGTTGGTTATGAATGGGTTGGTGCAGGAGGACTAGTCACTTCTAGTTCTACTACATCTCCTTCCCATGCCCTTCAACTCTCCCTGTCCAAAAGGAAAGCATTGGGGGAAAAAAAATTAAAGATATCTATGGAAAGAAAGTCCATTTGCCAGTGGAATAAATTTGCAACTGGTGAATTTGAATAAATGTGGGATTTACTTTCAGCCTGAAGGTTTTATTATTCTCATTTTGATAGTATCAATACAGTGGATAAATGCATATACATTTTTTTCCCCATGTATATTCATTAATATATATATATATATATATATATATATATATATATATATGGGGCAATATCAAGTTACATCCGTGAAAAAATAATAAGTCTTACGTTAAATCTTAATCGTTGATTTTTGTGTATCTGATTGTGGTAATTTATTGAGAATTAATAATTATGTAATGAAATTCAATAAATTATAATTGTCAGATACACATCAATTAACGGTTAAGATTTGATATAAGACTTATTATTTTTCTATTCTTACACCAGTGTAAGTTATTATATCCCTATATGTATATATATACTCGTGGCAGAATCATTTTACATGACATAATAATAATAATAATAATAATAATAATACTAATTATTATTATTATTATTATTATTATTTTTATTATTATTATTAATAACAACTAATAGTGTGAGTAAGCTTATATCGTGTGCATACTTTAAAAGGACATGTAATGTGATTTATTAACTTTTAAAAGTGTGCATTTTGTCATTTTCTTTTAACTTTCCGGTACAAGGAAGGTTATATTTACAATTTTTTTTTTTACAATCTCTTACAATCATATTTTAACACCGTTGATTTTCGTCAATCAACGGTTATCATTTATTGTGAATTAATAATTAATAATAAGTTTAGTTTAGGAAAATCATAACCGTTGATTGGCGGAAATCAACGGTGTTAGTATATGGTTGTAAGAGGCTGTAAAAAAAAAAAGGTTGTAAATATAACCTTCCTCTTCTGATATTAATAAAAAATATTTATTTATTTTTAACTAGCGTATTATTCTTATTTTTATCTATATGATGTGCTCAATTCTGAAACAAGAGGACGACAAAATAAAACGAGGACAAAAAAAGAGAGTAAAACAATAATATTACTTTTATAACTTGTTTTTTACAATCAAGATTTACACATTCTTTATGTGGAAAAAAGAAAGATAAAAGTCAGTTTCTCTTTTTATTTTCTTCTTCCTAAAAAGAAACGTAGAATGAAAATGTAAGAAATGAAGTGTAAAGAAAAAAGGAAAAAGTCACAGGAAAAATGGGCCACTGGTGTCACCCCAAAGGTTTATAGTTTTGATATACATTTATTGTGGGCTGGTGGGCCCATCGATACTTTTTAACTTGATATTTTATTTTAGGGATTAATATTTATCTTTTTAAAGGATCTAAATTTGTTAAAATTATAGTGTTTTATGATGAGAGAAAGAGTTACACAATAAAAATTAAAGTGGAAAGAAGTAAGAGGCTTTTTTTTGGTAAAAAGAAGCTTTTTTTTAATTTAAATATTAAATAAAAATAGTCATTTTAATTAAAATGATAGTTCTTTAAAAAGAAAAATATTTTTTCTTTATTTTATGTTTAAAATAAACTATATATAAAATAGAACTCATTCTGGCGTATTCAAGTGCATCCGTACAAGTGGCAAGAATTTAAAATAAACTGAATATATCTTCAATCATGTTTTGTCTTCTTTGAATCAAACACTAAGCTTATGAATGTAACGGCAATTCCAACACGCCGTTCTATGAGTACAATCGAGATTGCAGAGTTTTATATATATGTGAATGTTGTCTTCGTTAATTTTTAAATGTTGGCCGAAACCAAAAGCCATATGCATATACTTTTGATACATCGCAGATTACTAACACGCCCTTCTTTATATTTTGAATTGTATATTACGTTTTTATTATTATTGTTATTAGTAAAACGGCAAAACAATTTTTTTTTTAATAAAAAAAATCCATTTTATTTCACTTCAACGGTGCATGGGGGTATATTACAAAATTTTTCACATAACAAATAACTTTTTAAAGATATTTAAGTATAAAAATTAAGGAATAAGTTATTCTATATATCATTTTTTCCATGCTTATCTTATTTATCACTCTCCAACACCGTTATATCAGAATTTCAAAAGGAGAGAGAAATAATAAATATTAATTGATGTTCTAATCTAACGGTACTGGATAGTAGCAAACAAGGTAAGCATGAAAAAAAATTAGAATAACATAATCCCAAAAATTAATAATTATTTATTGCAGCTTAAACTCTTAACATTACGTAGGAAAGTTATATATATCCCTAAGGGCGAGCTTATTGTACCTTAATTTCCAGCAGTTTTTCATAGTTCACATCGCTTACAAATTGTTTCATCAAACTATAATTGTTTCCCTCTATTTCTCCCCAATGGGAATGTTCCCATGGAGAGGTTTCGCCCTTGTTTCTTTTTATCTCATCTTATTCACTTACAATGTCTCTGCCACTTCCACGCATTTAACGTTCAACACAATAAAAGGTCTTTTTTCTCTTGTATTCAATTGTAGACTGATTGCTCTGCCAATGCCAGTTTTCTTGTTAGTATTAAGTTCCATATATATATATATATATATATATATATATATATATATATATATATATATATATATATATATATTATTTTATTTTTTGGTAAAAAGTTCCACTATATATTTATTAATGTAGCTGATAGATAATTTCATGGTGGTGCTTGTGCTTGTGCAGATGATATTGATCTATGTAAAATAGCATTTTGTGGGAAAGGAACATGCCACCCTTCTCTAGATGAATTGTGGGGTTTCACATGCGATTGTGACCCTGGTTGGAAGAAGATCAGTATTAGTTCCTTCGAATTCCCGCCCTGCGTTATTCCAAACTGTGAGTGCTCTTCCTATTCTTACCCTATATACATTTATAGGAAATAAATGAAACAAATTAAAGAAAAAATATAGAAATTTAAAGTGTCTTTATATATATCTATCAATTTTCTCTCTTGAAGAAAGGATGTAGATCAAAAGAAGAAAGTCAATCCAAATATCCAAACAAAATAAATTTTACGTTGCATCAAATTTGGCTCTCCCACCAAATTAATTTTATGGTGAATGCAAATATAAATAAATGTCTGATGTAACATGTATACTTTATTTTTAAGGGAACAAATAAAAAAAAGAAAGAAACAAAGAAAACACATTGATGTTATCTTGCGCATCGTTTTTGCCACCTTATTTTTTTGTTTAATTTATAGAAGTTATTGTATTACTATTTGTCACCATGCTCTCTCTATCTGTCCATTCTTGTTTGACTACTTACAATGTTTATATATATATATATATGGAAAATGATATACTTATAAATTTTTTTGTTTAAAAACTACATTATGCCTGATCGGTAATATACTCTTGAGCCTGGTGACATAGTATAATTTGTAAGTTTGTAAAAAAAAAATTATCAATATAACCTTACTCTCTCTCTCTCTATATATATATATATATATATAGAGAGAGGGATTAAGTGGATGTCATATGATCGGATATAAAGTTTTGTTCAGTCACATATTTTTTTTTTTTTTTGATAACATAGTCACATATTTTTTAACTATGTACTATAAGTAGTACGTAGTTATAATATTAAAATTATTTTTTTAATTATGTACTATGGGTAGTACATAGTTATTTTTTAACTATGTATTACGGGTAATACATAATTATAATATTAAAGAATAGGTTGCAAAACGACACTAATATTATAATTATATTACCCGTAATACATAGTTAAAAAAATAACTTTAATATTATAATGGAAAATAATACTCTCATGTTACATGAGAGTAAATCATTTTCCTACACAAATTCGTTTTTCGTGCCAATTAATTTTTCTTTTCTTTTTTAATATAAAATATGGGACCCACATTTAACTTCTCTCTACTTTTTTTCTCTCCTACAATCCTACAACATAAGAAAACTTAAACCCTATTATAATTATGTACTATTCGTAGTATAAAGTTAAAAAATATGTGACTGCATAAAATCTTATATCCAATCACATGACAAATCATTTTTTCATATGGGTTTGTTTTTTCTGATGTTACTTTAGATAACTTTATCTAATGTTCATCAAAACGACGTCGTTTTGAGACAAAAATCATAGTATTTTTGTAATTTTAATTTATTTCAGAGTTATAATAGTCTTTATCACTCTAATTTTTTAATTTTTCAACCCCAAAACGACGTCGTTTCGATGAACATTAGATAAAGTTATCTAAAGTAACATCGGAAACTTTTTTCCCTTTCCATATATATATATATGAGAAAAATGTTTATGTAGTTAATGCAGATAAGTTATCTGCATTTATTCCCAAAATGACGTCGTTTTGGTATTGAAATCTTAAAAAATTGTAAATATAAAGACTATTATAACCCTGAAATAAATTAAAACTACAAAACACCATGATTTCCGCCCAAAACGACGTCGTATTGGGCTTACTGCAGATAACTTATCTGCAGTAATTGTAGAAAAAGCGAACCCTATATATATATATGAGTAAAGATATTTTAACTACCAAAAATTCTTACTACTAACTTATTACCCATCACATCACATCACTATTGGATCAAAGAGAGAGAATGTTAAAAAGTTTTTGAAGAGAGAGAAAATGTTAATCTAATAGTTATCTTATGTTGTAGAGATAAAATGAATGGGTCCCACCATTACAAGAAAAAAGAAAAAATAGAAAAAGATGGGGTGCGAAAATTAAAGTGAGAGAACATGAGAAAAACTATTTTATATGAAAGGGAAAAAAGTTTTCGATGTTACTTTAGATAACTTTATCTAATATTCATCGAAACGATGTCGTTTTGGGGTTAAAAAATTAAAAAATTAGAGTAATAAAGACTATTATAACACTGAAATAAAATAAAATTACAAAAATATCATGATTTTCATCCCAAAACGACGTCATTTTGATGAATATTAGATAAAGTTATCTAAAGTGACATCAGAAAAAACAAACCCTATATGAGAAGAGAGGAATATTTCCCAATATGAAATGCTGTTTGCACAAATCAAACTAAAAATTTGATAGCGGGCTCTGCAGGACTTTGGATAGTTGACTGTTATTCATCTGTTGATTGGATGAGATTTTTTTTTTTTTTGGTATATCGTCCGGAGAAAATTATATTTACAAATTTTTTGTTTATAAACTCTTACAAACTACATTAAGTATGA